AAGTATACAAGCGGCAAATCAACTAAAACGAATGCAGCACTGCTTTATCAATAACCAACTACATTCCATACGTCAGAAGTGAATTTAATCGGACAAAGTCGGATTGTGTGATCGGGTCTTGAGAGCAAATCTATTTAAAAATATCTTTAGGGAGCAAAGCCCGGTGAAGGTGGCGAACTTCCGGGTCACAAGGTCACACCAGAGATTGCAAAAACGCGATTGTCAACCTTGGGTGTGGCATTGATCAGCCCTCCACCACATCATGATATTTACTCCATTGAAGATCTTGCTGAGGTCAGTATAGTTTGGGATAGTATGTCTGGTAGGAAAGACTAATATATAACTGAGTTGTTCTAATAACTTTTTATTATTGTGGGGCCATTCAGTAGCGTAGCCAGCCTGACGATTTGTCCCGCTATGCTAATATACTAGTGTTCATTGACTGTGAAAACAATAAATTTCTAAAGAAATGAATCATTATAATAACTCGAAATTTACATAGCGGGACAAAATCGTCAGGCTGGGTAACGCTACTGGGGCCAGTTGTATAAATGACTAGTTAACTTTTAACTGCAGTTGAGGACAGAATTGGCCACTTATAGTCGTGTATTTCTGAATTAACTAGGATTTAACTATGTTAAAGTGTTTTATACGACCGGCCTTAGGGGTTGGAAACAAATTTAAATATTCATCAAGCTTCAGACAGAGAGGGAATGGTTTTTTTGTGAGGACTAAACGTTCCAATAACCTACTTTTTACGAGGAACAGACTTCCTTGAAGATTAGTAAATTTAGGCAGGGGGCAAAGTTCTGGAGAGGTCTCCATAATTGTCCCTCATGTCAACCACTTTGTTTTTTTCAAGTCTACCCAATAATGAAACAACTTTCTAGAGCTTAAATCGATTATGACTTTTGGCACTTCACTCGATGCAGGTAAATTCTAGAGGTTCAAAGGGTCTTAAAAGACAAGAGCAAGAGCATTGCACGGCATCGCATAAGCGTAGGTTCGATTCCTGCCGGAGGACCGATAGTTGACTCATTTTTCCATCAACTGTTCCTGGCTTGAATTTGAAGTGTGTATAATTCCACTCGATTTTAAGACCCTTTGAACCTCTAGAATGTTCTAGAGGTTATGTCAATTCTTGTGATGGATGATGAAGAAATATATTCGCTGTTTTTTTAGTTGATTTTCAATCTGAAATGCTCCAATCCCAAGTCAAGAATTAGCGTTAAGCTGGTGTCAGAGGTCGGTGTTGGTGTAATTGCCGCTGGTGTGGCTAAGGTAATATGTTTTTGTGTTTTTTATCTATGGAAACAAAGAGGAATTTCGTTTTGAACTAATCAGCATATTTGTTTACATTTTTCAGGCAGAGTGAATCAGAATGCCTAAGTCTTAATACTTCATGTAAAATGGCGAATGATGTTTCTTTTTACCGGAAGTAGTCAAGATTTATGCATTCTGATTGGCTTACTGAAAATGCAAACAAATTTGCTGATTGGTTATTTCACATTTCACAAACATTTCACATCTTTTTACATGTGTGTATGACTCAGGACATATCTCCTCTCTCCCCAGGGTCACGCCGAACACATCGTGATTTCCGGCCACGACGGGGGGACTGGTGCTAGTTCGTGGACCGGCATCAAACACGCCGGATTGCCGTGGGAACTGGGTCTGAGTGAAACACATCAGACTTTGGTTTTGAATAATTTGCGGCGACGAGTTGTCTTGCAAACAGACGGACAATTGAGAACAGGTAATTGTTGGCAAATAGTAGGTTCTAACTATAGATTACACTTTCATCCATGCAGAAAATTCAAAATCCAACACCACAGCTAGAGTGCCTTAAAATGAGTTAAATGGTAAAGTTTGGCCGGAAATTTGGCAAAATACATGGGTAGTATAGCTCTGCAAAGTTCACAAAGCCCTTATCTTCTTGTATCTCGCTAAAAATAAAACTACTTTTGGCTCAAAAAGATTTTTTCTGCATATGTAATACAAGTATACAAATTCACCATATTCATAAAGGTATATTTCTCGTGCATATTTTACAATATTTTTCAATCAAATTTTGACCAAAGATGTTCTTTTTTAATTTTAATTTTCTTGCCTGTATCAAAATTTAGTCAAGTTTATAGCTCATATATAATTATATTTATTAACCAACATTAGCAATATCGATCTCTCAACGAAGCTAACTATATCTTCACCTGATTTCAGGCCGTGATGTGATCATTGCTGCCTTGCTTGGGGCGGACGAATTTGGCTTTTCCACCGCCCCATTGATCAGCCTTGGCTGTACGATGATGAGAAAATGTCATCTCAATACGTGCCCCGTTGGCATAGCAACACAGGATCCTGTTTTGCGAAAGAAATTTGATGGCAAACCAGAATACGTCATCAATTATTTCTTCATGATTGCTGAAGAGGTTAGTGACGTACAGTTGATGTTTCATTTGATTATAACCCTTAATCCTAACCTAAATCCTAATCTAAATCCTAACTCTAATCCTAACCCTTAATCCTAATCTCAATCATAATCCTAGTCTTAACCATATTCCAAATTCTGTGATCCTAGCACTATTCCAAATCCTCAATCCTAATCCTCGATCCTGACCCTAATCCTAGTCCTAACCATATTCCAAACTTAAATCCAAACACTATTCCAAATCCCTAATCCTAAGGCAATCTTCTGAGGTAATTTCTAGAAGTAACAATGATGGAAAGTCGCTCTCTTTCTTCACCTCAAATGGCCAGGCTCTGAAAGGATATCTGTGTTCATCTAGGTACGCGAATACATGGCTAAGCTGGGTTTTAAAACAATGAAGGAAATGATCGGGCAGACACAATGCATCAAGAATTCTGAAGATCCTTTGAACGAGAAAACTAAGGTTCGCGAAATTAGATATTGGATGAAATTGTGAAATTGCAATTCATGCAAGCTTCTCAACTATCTTTCGTCGTCTGAATGTATGTTCATAGTGCTGGTACTAGTAGAACTTGTAACGAATTGTATCGACATTTGATGTTTTACCTTATATTTGAAAGTTCAGGGGCCGGTTGTATCACGCCCGTTTAGCTTAAACGGTGGATAAGTCAAAATTAAATAACACTCTTACAACTCTCTTGAATGAGTCAACTTGAATATTATGCACTGAATATGTAGTTGTAAACAGTATCTTTGTATTAAGGTTAAAAACATTTAGTTTGCTTGTTGAATAAAACGGCAGACTTGCTTTCTATTTTGAACTTAACCACCGTTTAAGCTAAACGGGCTTGATACAACCGGCCCCAGAAGATCAAAGCGAAATTTATATTTTTTGTAGCTTCTTGACTTCGGAAAGATTCTGCTTCCAGCTCATTCCTTGAGCGAAGGTGAACATTTTGGTGGAACTGAGGGACAGGAGTTTGGATTGGAAGATAGAATGGTGAGATTTACTAATATCATACCATACGATACCATACCATACCATATCATATACCATACCATACCATACCATACGATATCATACGATACCATACGATACCATACCATACCATATCATATACCATACCATACCATACCATACCATACCATACGATATCATACGATACCATACGATACCATGCCACCGTACCATACCATACCATAACATACTATACCATACCATCATAAACCATTTACCATGAGATGCAGTACTTTGCTTATACCAGGCCATAATGTACCATAACCTACCAAAATTTAAACCATACTACACCAGACGGTCTCCTCGTTTCTTTAGGAGGATGAACTCATCGCAGCCGTTCACGATGTTCTTGAAGGGAAGCGAAAAAACGTTCTCATTGAATTCAATATTGGAAATCAAGATCGAAGTTTTGGAACAACAACAAGCTATCACATATCCAGGTAACAACCCAGATTTAACCCCACAACATGAAAAACATTCACCCTTGGAAAAATAACGAAAAATATATCCATGTTGATCTTACTTTGAAAAAATGAGGCCAATTGAAACGTTCAGGTCTCTTTCAGACGACGAACTTTTCATCTACCGAACCTCATGTTAAACGAACTAAAGTCTTTATTTCAAGTTCATTTGCATTTGATTTTGTACATGAAAAGTTCGACGTCTGAAACGGGCCTAAGTTTGAACCAAAATAGCATCAGAAAAATCTGTTTTGTTGTGGTTGCAAAATGCTACAAGATTTATACTAAAAAGATTTATTTTATCTGATTATTTTCCTAGAAAACTCCTCGACACTGGCCTACCTGAAGACACGGTTTTCGTGAAACTTAAAGGGTCTGCAGGTTTGTTGATTTTTCTGTGTTTCATTTGAGCAATATTACCAAGAACACTTAATCTATTTGTTGTAACCCCATAAAACGCACTCAATATATGTTAAAAATTTCCTTTTTGATATTTTCAAGGTCAAAGTTTCGGGGCGTTCGTTTGTCGTGGTATTACTTTAGAGTTGGAAGGAGATGCAAATGACTATGTAGGAAAGGTAAATATATTAATTTGCCCTGAGTAAAACTTCATAAACCTAACTCTTTAATCCAGGAAGTGGCTTTTGGATTCTTCCTAAATTTTTCCTTAAATCCAAGGTTTCAATGAAAAGGCCTTTCATTTAAAGTTTCTTGACGTTAAGGCAATGTTACTTCTTGTATTTACAGGGTCTTTCTGGCGGGAAGATAATATTATATCCGAGCAAGAATTTGCCCCAGAATTTCAAAGCTGAAGACAATATCATTGCTGGGAATGTCTGTCTCTATGGCGCCACGTCTGGGAAGGTTTGTAATCATTAGTTCTAAACTGTTCTTCCTAGAGGTCCAATAAGGATCATCTCTTATTGATCCAGTGTTACTACAAGAGGAAACCTAAACTAAACTAACTTTATTTATGCTGGATAGCTCTATCAGTTCTAAACTGTTCTTCCTAGAGGTCCAGTAAGGATCATCTCTTATTGATCCAGTCTTACTACAAGAGGAAACCTAAACTAAACTAACTTTATTTATACTGGATAGCTCTATCAGTTCTAAACTGCTCTTTCTAGAGGTCCAGTAAGGATCATCTCTTATTGATCCAGTGTTACTACAGGAGGAAACCTAAACTAAACTAACTTTATTTATACTGGATAGCCCTATCAGTTCTAAACTGTTCTTCCTAGAGGTTCAGTAAGGTTCATCTCTTATTGATCCAGTGTTACTACAGAAGGAAACCTAAACTAAACTAACTTTATTTATACTGGATAACTCTATCAGTTCTAAATTGTTCTTCCTAGAGGTCCAGTAAGGATCATCTCTTATTGATCCAGTGTTACTACAGAAGGAAACCTAAACTAAACTAACTTTATTTATACTGGATAACTCTATCAGTTCTAAACTGTTCTTCCTAGAGGTTCAGTAAGGATCATCTCTTATTGATCCAGTCTTACTACAAGAGGAAACCTAAACTAAACTAACTTTATTTATACTGGATAGCTCTATCAGTTCTAAACTGCTCTTTCTAGAGGTCCAGTATGGATCATCTCTTATTGATCCAGTGTTACTACAGGAGGAAACCTAAACTAAATTAACTTTATTTATACTGGATAGCCCTATCAGTTCTAAACTGTTCTTCCTAGAGGTTCAGTAAGGTTCATCTCTTATTGATCCAGTGTTACTACAGAAGGAAACCTAAACTAAACTAACTTTATTTATACTGGATAACTCTATCAGTTCTAAATTGTTCTTCCTAGAGGTCCAGTAAGGATCATCTCTTATTGATCCAGTGTTACTACAGAAGGAAACCTAAACTAAACTAACTTTATTTATACTGGATAACTCTATCAGTTCTAAACTGTTCTTCCTAGAGGTTCAGTAAGGATGATCTCTTATTGATCCAGTGTTACTACAGAAGGAAACCTAAACTAAACTAACTTTATTTATACGGGATAACTCTATCAGTTCTAAACTGTTCTTCCTAGAGGTCCAGTAAGGATCATCTCTTATTGATCCAGTGTTACTACAGGAGGAAACCTAAACTAAACTAACTTTATTTATACTGGATAGCTCTATCAGTTCTAAACTGTTCATCCTAGAAGTCCAGTAAGGATCATCTCTTATTGATCCAGTGTTACTACAGGAGGAAACCTAAACTAAACTAACTTCACTTTTAATTCCTTAGGCATATTTTCGTGGAGTGACTGCCGAACGCTTTTGTGTTCGCAATTCAGGCGCCATTGCTGTTTGTGAGGTGGGTCCAAAGATCTTCAAACGCTGTACTAAGTATGATTATGATTATGAAACACTGCACAGATGCAACTGAAATATGTTGTTGTAACTCAATAGTAGAATCTGTCTTACATTGTAAAGAATACATTATTTTTCAGGGGTGTGGTGACCATGGTTGTGAATACATGACGGGGGGAACGGTCGTTATTTTGGGACCGACTGGAAGAAATTTTGCGGCCGGAATGTCGGGAGGGATCGCTTACATTTTTGACCGGTAAAAATTGTCGAAGTATTGGCGCTTATAGATCTCAAATATGACAAACTGGTAGCAAATGTGAACAAGCTTCTGACGATTTCTTTCCTATTTAGGTCAGGTAAATTCCCAAGTCTTTGCAACACACAAAAAGTTGATCTTGATCCATTACAAGATGAAGATTATACCTCACTAAAACACATCATTCAGGATCACTTTCATTACACGCAATCTACCGTGGCAAAGACCTTGTTAGATAACTGGAGTGAGGCTGTTAAACTCTTCATCAAGGTTTGCATATTGTCGATAATATAATATATGATAGTTTATGAAACTCTTATGTCAACTCTCGCTTGTCAACTCTCATGCAACTCTTGTTCTCGTTTAATCAAGCAATAATAGTTGATGAAACTCTCATGTAAACTCTCGCTTGTCAACTCTCATGCAACTCTTTTTTCTCGTTTGATAGCAATGATAGTTGATGAAACTCTCATGTAAACTCTCGCTTGTCAACTCTCATGCAACTTTGTTCTCGTTGATCAAGCAATGATAGTTGATGAAACTCTCATGTAACTCTCGCTTGTCAACTCTCATGCAACTCTTGTTCTCGTTTGATCAAGCAATGATAGTTGATGAAACTATGTAAACTCTCGCTTGTCAACTCTCATTCAACTTTTGTTCTCGTTTGATCAAGCAATGATAGTTGATGAAACTCTCATGTAAACTCTCGCTTGTCAACTCTCATGCAACTTTTGTTCTCGTTTGATCAAGCAATGATAGTTGATGAAACTCTCATGTAAACTCTCGCTTGTCAACTCTCATGCAACTCTTGTTCTCGTTTGATCAAGCAATGTTAGCTGATGAAACTCTCATGTAAACAAACTCTCGCTTGTCAACTCTCATGCAACTCTTGTTCACGTTGATCAAGCAATGATAGTTGATGAAACTCTCATGTAAACTCTCGCTTGTAGGTTATTCCTCGAGAATATAACTAGCATTGAAACAGCAAGAAAACGAGGAGATCTTGGTTAGTAGAAAATATTCCGAGATGTATAAACACTATTATTTCAACGATTACTTGAAGTGATATTTTGTATGTGGTAAATTAAGGATAAAGTTTATCAAAGGTAACGTTTTAAATCATTCAGAGTGAAAACCTTCGCATCAAAATGGCGATGAAAAGATGGATGGTAATTTTTACGAAGAAGTGCCATTAGAAAGGATTCGGTGAACGACATTGCTGATATTGAAGAAGCTGTTCCGAATGACAGTGATGAGAAAAACATTGATAAACAAAGGTATTAGTAAATATCGGTATATTTAGGCCCCGTTTACACTATACTGGATTGTTTCCGGAGTGGGTCAAATTTTGTAGCAGTAAAAAGAAAGGCAGTAAAAAAATTACTGTCAGAGATCAAAGTAAATATACCAAATCTATCAAACTAATAAGCATTTGCTATAACCGTTGCCCTTTAAAGGGAAAGGAAGATATCGTGACAATCGAACCAGTATAGTGTAAACGGGGCCTTAGACTGTTAGAATTTCTCCTTCGAGTATTCACCAATTCCGTGTCTTTGGTTTTTTTTGGGGTCCGGGCTAAATTGCTCGCCTTGCGTCAAAGGCCCTGGCCAGCCCTTATTGAGAGTTTGACAAAACAATTTAAGTTGCTATCTTTGCCAATCAGTCCAGATTAGAACCACAAAGAATCAAGGTGTCTAGTAGAACACTGCTAGCTTGTTTGATGACTGAATTCAACATCTTTTACGATTGCTTTCAGAGGTTTTGTGCGATAAAAGACGCGCGAATGCTTACAGACCAGCTAAGAAACGATTGAAGGACTGGAACGAGATCTATAATCATCCAAACAGAAGGAACTGAAGGTGCAAGCTGCAAGGTCAGCGTTGCATGGAACTTCATTTTACTACGTGATGAAAGCAGAGTTTACTGCCTAGCGGTCCAGTGTTACTACAGGAGGAAACCTAAACTAAACTAACTTTATTTATGCTGCATAGCTCTATCAGTTTTAAACTGTTCTTCCTAGAGGTCCAGTAAGGATCATCTCTTATTGATCCAGTGTTACTACAGGAGGAAACCTAAACTAAACTAACTTTATTTATACTGGATAACTCTATCAGTTCTAAACTGTTCTTCCTAGAGATCTAGTAAGGATCATCTCTTATTGATCCAGTGTTACTACAGGAGGAAACCTAAACTAAACTAACTTTATTCATACTGGATAGCTCTATCAGTTCTAAACTGTTCTTCCTAGAGGTCCAGTAAGAATCATCTCTTATTGATCCAGTGTTACTACAGGAGGAAACCTAAACTAAACTAACTTTTTTATACTGGATAGCTCTATCAGTTCTAAACTGTTCTTCCTAGAGGTCCAGTAAGAATCATCTCTTATTGATCCAGTGTTACTACAGGAGGAAACCTAAACTAAACTAACTTTATTTATACTGGATAGCTCTATGAGTTCTGGACTGTTCTTCCTAGAGGTCCAGTAAGCATCATCTCTTATTGATCCAGTGTTGCTACAGGAGGAAACCTAAACTAAACTAACTTTATTTATACTGGATAGCTCTATCAGTTCTAAACTGTTCTTCCTAGAGGTCCAGTAAGGATCATCTCTTATTGATCCAGCGTTACTACAGAAGGAAACTTAAGTATTTATACTGGATAGCTCTATGAGTTCTATAGTGTTCTTCCTAGAGGGCAAGTCTTAATAACCCTTATTATCGTGTTTTGTCTATTATAGATGCATGGATTGTGGCGTGCCTTTCTGTCAGTCAAAAACTGGCTGTCCTTTGGGAAATGTAATCCCGAAATGGAATGATCTTGTTTTTCACGTAAGTTTTAAGCAAAAATCCTCTTTTCACTGTACTATTGAACTAACTGAAACTGGGTAAATGAATATTGCAATTTAATCTCCACTCTCAGGGTCAATGGCAAGACGCTTTGGACAGATTGCTGCAGACAAATAACTTCCCAGAATTCACCGGAGAGTTTGCCCCGCGCCATGTGAGGTAAGAAACATCTGATCTCATAACATTTAAGCAGAAACTGTATTGATAAAAACCACGATTTTTATGATTCATTTCACTGACCAGAGATCTTCAGATTTCAACCAACCTGGATAAGCTTTTCTATTTTTTTCGTCATGTTGTCAGGGTGCCTGTGTGCTGAGCATCAATTCACAACCTGTTACGATCAAAAGTATCGAATGTCAAATCATTGATGTTGCTTTTGAAAAAGGATGGATGAAACCTCAGGTAATATCATCTGTACTCCATCAAACACCCCATCAATAAGAGATGATTCTTACTGGACCTCTAGGAAGAACAGTTTAGAACTGATAGAGCTATCCAGTATAAATAAAGTTAGTTTAGTTTAGGTTTCCTCCTGTAGTAACACTGGATCATTAAGAGATGATCCTTACTGGACCTCTAGGAAGAACAGTTTAAAACTGATAGAACTATCTGACCTCTGGACCTTGGTTTATATTTTCTAATGTACTTATTTTAGCCGCCTCAATGAGAACAAACAAAACTGTTGCTATCATTGGAAGTGGTCCTGCTGGTCTAGCAGCTGCCGCTCAACTCAACAAGGTATCAAAATTAAACTTTCAAAGCCATCGTAATTTCTACATGAACAAATTTTTATCAATATCTCTCTTCGTTAAATCTTGCTAGACTGGCTCAGGTGAACTGCCCCCCCCCTCCTAGTGCTATTGAAAAATATAGACGTTCTCTGTTTAAAATATTTAGTCTATATTTAGTCTTCACTCTTCACCCTTCGAAGACTGCCTGTAGTTGACGGTCGAAAGCTCGTCAAATAATAAATATTTCAACCTGAGAACGTCTATATTTTGCAATATAATTGACCCTGGTTAGCATCATATATATTCAAAGCCCCTCATGTAGTGAGAATTTGTGATAAGATTATTATTATTATAAAGATCTGGCTATAATATAAAACAATTACAGCATTCGACGTTCGCTTATATGCGACTCAATTTCATGCTGAGATTGTTAATATGAGATATTTTTCTATGTTGCGTAATATATGCTCAAAACCTCAGTTATATCTTCATGCAACAGCACTAAAATTTTCAGCATTAAAATGTTTTGCAAACCTGAAAAGCATCCACAAAGTATGTTTACTGTATAATCTTAAAATATTGTGAAAATGAAAAGATTTCTCGGGATACGCCGGGAAGAAAATGACACTTGAATCGAAGCTTCTTTTGTATTCATTTCAGTAATAATGGCGTTGACATTATATAATAGCCGCATTATATTTTGAAATAACTCCTTTCTTTGGTGTTTTGCATTCACTAAATACAGTTCAAAACTTAGTTCACAACATAATCTAAAGAATAAAGGTAAATTAAATTAATTTTGAGCGGTACGCCGAAAAGATTTTAGGTTTTAAGCGTTTTCCCGCCAAAATATACGACATTAAATATATCGACATTTGACTCTATGTTTTGTTTTTAAAATGTTGTATTTTAAAGGCTGGTCACCTTGTCACGGTTTATGAAAAGAACGAGAAATGTGGCGGATTACTGATGTATGAATTCCTTCAATGAAAATTGAGAAAGAGGTTTGTTTAAAATAATGAATATATAATTTGCTTCATTTTACCAACCTGATTAAGACCTAATCCTAACCCTAATTCTAGCCTGATTTAAAGGATTAATTTCGTGTATTCAGGATTTAGTAAACATGGAATTATTTCCAATATTATACCTCAGATTCAAATAGTCCAATAAAAAAACTGTATTTGTACCACGTGATGAGTAGATTTTTTGTGGAAGCACATAGACTGCGAACTTAAATCCTGGTTTTTACCCGGGGCATGTAATTTAAAGTCGAATTACCCTCTTTTGCCCGCAAGGGAGGGTGATTCCACTTTAAATCACCCTCGAATTCGTAAACTAGCCTGCCGTTACGGGTGTCAGATTGTAAATATGGCCGACGGCAACAAGACGCCGGACGACAATGACGAGGGAAATTCGTCGGTACAAGATGAAATTGAACGACTTTTGTCCAGATTTATATTTTGATTATTTTATATTTCATAAATGTTAAATTATCGTTATTATATTTATTTGAAATAAAAGGTATTTGCCTTTTTGTCAAAAGCTTTAAATTTTCGGTATAATATATCAGTTATCAACCTTTCACTCGGGTGATTCCACAAGAAATTACCCTGAGGGATGAAATATTCCTCGGGCAGCGCCCTCGGAATATTTCATCCCTCAGGGTAATTTCTTGTGGAATCACCCTCGTTCCAGGTTGATAACTGATAATAATTCACACCAGATCACGTTTCACGAACTCCAGATTCCAAACCTACGATTCCGTGTTTTCCATGGGATCATTTGTAAACAAATACCAGCCCTTGTGAAAGACACTTGAAATATATTTCACCCAAGAATTATTTGTCTGTTGCTTTAGACACATAATTCGTCGAAAGATTCGAAGTAAATTCTAATACAGACTTTATCCGCATCGATCATAATATACTTAGTCTAAATATTTCATTATTATGATTGATTTTTCTTGGTATAAAGTATCGCTTTCTTCGAACTCATTTCCATATAATGAAATAAGAAATTCCTACCAACACAAACACAACCAATTGCAAGTCAGTATTTCAACAGGAGGTCAATTACCTTTTGTCACAAGACATGATAATGATATCATATTTTCATACAAGCAAATTCCTGTCTACAAAACACTCCTTAAATATATTTGTCTTCGTAAATTTATCATTTTTGGGAAGATTTCGGGAAAATACAAACACAGACTTCTTCAAGAACGAAGACTGTATCCATATTCAGTCTATACAGCGAGGTTTATACTACAGAGCGACAAACAACACAGAACTTGCTTTATTATTACGACACAAGAACGACGTGAAATATGGCTTCATATATACAAGGCTACGATGAAAAAGGTTTGTGAACCAAATCAATCGAAATTTTCATTGTCAGATTTGCTTCAATGTCTTGAAAGAGCCGGTTATGTGTTCGAGAAACCAGCATTCTTTTTGCCGTTGTTGTATTACGAAACATCTGGAAAATTCTCAAACATGTCCAACGTGTGCTGATGAACTGACCGTAGAGACTTTGATCGAACCACCGCGAATGGTAAAAGATTTTTTAAATGAATCAAAAATTCGTTGCGTTTACATCGACAGAGGTTGTCAAGAAGTTGTAGAATTACAGCATCTTGACCGGCATGAAGATACATGTGGATATACACCAGCCGTTTGTACAAACCAAGGCTGTGGTTTAATTGTCAACAAGCGTGATCTTATTCACCATGAAAGTGAAGTCTGTGAATTCCGAAAGTTGAAGTGTCACTCGTGCGGAGAAATAACCAAAACTTTGACAAATATGGAGGAAAGAATGGCGAATATCGAGAAGAATAATGTAACAATTGAAACTAAAATAACAAATTTAGAGAAAAATCGTGAAAGAAATGCGGCAGATATGAACAACAAAGTCGATGGATTGAAAACAGCTTTGGTCAGAGCTTTTGATGAAATGAAGGACGTTCTTATCACGATGGAGGGCAGGATAGAAGAAAGCACAAGAAATAGAAATGGTTATAAGGAAAATATAATTGTTGCTGGAGGTTATGGAACTAACTATGTAGAGATGTTTAACTGGCGTCAAAGAACATGGTCGCCATTACAATCAATGCCAACAAATCGTTGGGGAGCGACTTCATTTATTTATAACAATCATATGACCATAGCTGGGGGTACCTGTGGTTTGTCTGACATTGTTGATGATATGATTAAAATGAATATTGACCGAAACCCTGATCTCTCAACACACTGGAGTGACTGTCCTGTTAAACTACCTGATAAGTTGAGATATCACAGAAGTGTGCTGTATAATGATCAGTTGATAGTGTCTGGAGGTGATAATAGAAATGGTTTATCTGACTTGATCAGAGCAGTCCAGCTTGTTCCTCCCTATACTGTGAAGACCTTATCAAGAATGCCAGAACCAAGACATGGTCACAGCATGGAAATATTTGATGATAATTTGTTGATAGTTGGTGGAAGTACAACTGACAGTTACAAAGACAGCCTCAGCAGTGTTGTACTGTACGATATAAAGAAGAATGAACTGAAACAGTTGTCACCACTGCCGTATGAAGTGAGTGCTATGGCAACTGTGAGATGGGGAGACAACATTGTTGTTATTGGTGGTGCTGACAAACAATGCAAGACATTAGATACAGTTATCATTTACAATGTCAAGACAGAACAAAGTCACATGCTGCCATCAATGAGATTTAAGAGGAGGGCATGTACTGCAGTTGTTATTGAAAACAACATTGTGGTCCTTGGAGGATTGGGTGAGCAAAGAATGCTGAAGTCAGTTGAAGGTTTCAACTTTGAAAAATATTCTTGGGAAGAATTTCTAGAAATGTCTCAAGCAAGATGCCGACACACTGCTTTTGTTGTTTGAAAGATGTAAAAAGTATTCGTGAAAAAGCAATGAGACTTCCAATCTGTATAACAATTTCAAACAGTTGAAAATAGATTAAATATTGTGAAATAAAAAAATAAAATAAACTGAAAATTCCCTCGTATGCGTAATCAATTATCATTGCCACACAAAATTTAAGAGTTAAAACGTTCTTTCGTTGTCGTGTTCACGTGAACCCGCACACGTTGTCGTGTCGTGAACACGCACAATAATTGGTGGCTATCAGGTATACAATATACTTTATAAGCGCCGTGGTGGCTATCAAATCAACTGAGATTAAAACTCTTTTTCCACTTGGCGTAATTTTGCGCGAAGTTAAATTTCTCGTTGTCTCAAAAACCTGATTTCCAGCGCGCTTTTCTAGACATAATGTGGAATATTTTGTTTTATTTTTTAGTTAAAAGCAATTTATTGAGAATAGTTTATTCTAGCGGTTGCAATTCAAAAGAAATAGATGGAATTTTTTTGCTTTTTGCCCAACAGACACCTTGAAACCCAGTCTTTTTAGAAAAAAAAGAAGCTTTCAAGTCTGTTTTTTTTACCACTAAACAGCAGAGAAAAAATTGATACAAATCAACACACTCACTGACCTAAATAATTAGATTACAGTCTATCAATTTCGGGGTGACAACACCCTCCTGGAAACCATGACGTCAGGTGAAATAATCGTCTCATTACTTTAGGTCGTTCAAAGACGTATCCATCTTCTGGCTGAGGAAGGGATAGGATTCATCCCAATACCGAAATCGGAGTCGATCTTTCCGGCCAGCAGCTGCTCGAGTCATATGACGCCATCCTTTTAGCGATTGGTTCAACCGTTCCACGTGACCTCCAGATTCCTGGTAGGCAGACAAACCCAATTTCATAATCAAACCTAAATACTAGAAAATAGGAAAAACAGTTTAGAATTGATAGAGCTATTCAGTATAAATAAAGTCAGTTTAGTTTCCTCCTGTAGTAAGACTGGATCAATAAGAGATGATCCTTACTGGACCTCTAGGAAGAACAGTTTAGAACTGATAGAGCTATCCAGTATAAATAAAGTTAGTTTAGTTTAGGTTTCCTCCTGTAGTAACACTGGATCAATAAGAGATGATCCTTACTGGACCTCTAAGAAGAACAGTTTAGAACTGATAGAGATATCCAGTGTAAATAAAGTTAGTTTAGTTTAGGTTTCCTCCTGCAGTAACATTGGATCAATAAGAAATGCTTACCAAAGCTTTTAAAACATTTAGCTCCCTGAGTTGAGTGTCCAGTTGAATAGTTTTGAAACTTTCTATACCAACCTTGCGTATATCACTTGTGGATATGTTTAACATAAAAAAATGTTGTCAGTTCAACCAATGAAAAGCATAATCTTTCGCAAGTCGGAGTAACATAAAAAAAAATTCAATCTTTAGGTCGAGAACTTAAGGGCATACAGTTCGCTATGGATTTTCTGGAAAAAAATCAAAAGAAACAGCTTGGTATGTTTAAATTTGCTTCATCGAAATTCATTTAATCGAACTGCAGTCCAGTTGAGCTGTCTGCAATAGTTCAAATGTTAAACATAAAGATCGCATCTTGTTTTTACAAGAGGGTAAATCAATTACGATTTTGTTGCCCTCCACTCGATGTAGGTAAATTCTAAAGGTTTTTAAAGGGTCTTAATTTCGAGTAAAATCATACACAACTCAATTCAAGCCAGGAACAGTTGAGAAAAATTAGTCAACTATCGGTCCTCCGGCAGGAATCGAACCTACGCTTTTGCGATGAACTATTCCTGGCTTGAATTCAATTGACCATAACGAAAAAGATGGCGGATGTACATTTTACCAGAATGCATTGCGGTCGGAAATCGTTAAAAAAAGCGAACAGACGTCTTTTAAAGGACAGGCATAAAACCAGAAGTTAATTTCTTCGCTGAGTTAAAATTTCACGTCATTAGGAGTTTTTCTTGCCATCTTTTTTCAGTCATTCATTCTTAATGCCCGCAATGCACTCTGGTAAAATGTACATGCCGCTATCTTTTTCGTTACGGTCAATTGTGTTTGATTCCACTCTAAATTAAGACCCTTGTTTTTACAAGTCTATCCGGACCATCACTTTGCATCAAGTTGTTCAACAATTCATTCACAACTTTTTCGCAAAGTAAAATTTTCCTTTAATAATCCCACAACCTTTGATATATTTTTCCTTTTAGGTCCTTACAGTGGTAACGTCACAGACGCACGTGATAAGAACGTGATCATCATTGGTGGAGGCGACACAGGTGTAGACTGTGTGGCCACCTGTGTGCGACAGGTTTGTGATACAGCAACTGCATGGCTAGCGCCGGATAACGCTATCCAGGTTCCGTACAACCGTCCTCCGCAATTCATTAACCTGTTTAAGAGGAGATATTTTTCTATGTCGCGTAATATATGCTCAAAACCTCAGTTATATCTTCATGCAACAGCACTAAAATTTTCAGCATTAAAAATGTTTTGCAAACCTGAAAAGCATCCACAAAGTATGTTTACTGTATAATCTCGAAATATTGTGAAAATGAAAAGATTTCTCGGGATACGCCGAGAAGAAAATGACACTTGAATCGAAGCTTCTTTTGTATTCATTTCAGTTATAATGGCGTTAACATTATAACATTGTTGATAGCCACCGCATTATATTTTGTAATAACTCCTTTGTTTGGTGTTTTGCATTCACCAAATACAGTTCAAAACTTAGTTCACAACATAATCTAAAGAATAAAGGTAAAATAAATTAATTTTGAGTGGTACACCGAAAAGATTTTAGGTTTTGAGCGTTTTCCCGCCAAAATACGCGACATAATAAAAAATCTCCTCTTAATAACAAGTTTTACAACTTTATAAAATAACAACATTTGTTAGGGAGCACATCTTGTTGGCAAGATGTGAGATCATTGAGTTTTTAAGCCATGTAGGAGTCTTGTTATTTTGACCAATTGCTTTTCCTGATACCATTTCAGAATGCAAGGACGATAACGACATTCGAATTGCTGAGCGAACCGCCTAAGAACAGAAAAGACGCAAATCCGTGGCCTCAATGGCCGCGCGTGTTCAGAATTGAATATGGGCACGAAGAGGTGAGTTTAGGTTTCCTCCTGTAGTAACACTGGATCAATAAGAGATGATCCTTACTGGACTTCTAGAAAGAACAGTTTAGAACTGATAGAACTATCCAGTATAAATAAAGTTAGTTTACTTTAGGTTTCCTCCTGTAGTAACACTGGATCAATAAGAGATGATCCTTACTGGATCTCTAGGAAGAACAGTTTAGAACTGATAGAGCTATCCAGTATAAATAAAGTTAGTTTAGTTTAGGTTTCCTCCTGTAGTAACACTGGATCAATAAGAGATGATCCTTACTGGATCTCTAGGAAGAACAGTTTAGAACTGATAGAGCTATCCAGTGTAAATAAAGTTAGTTTAGTTTAGGTTTCCTCCTGCAGTAACACTGGATCAATAAGAAATAAATATGTTCACAGGTTGCAATCAAATACGGCAAAGATCCTCGGCATTATAACACCCTGAGCAAGGTATGTTCATACGTTTGAAAACACTTGACAATGATATTAGTTTATTTGGTAAAAGCCCTTTGGCAAACGGTTTCTTTATTTAACACTGATTTGTTTTAGGAATTCATCAATGACGAGAAAGGAAACGTCACCGGCATAAGAACAGTCAGAGTGGAATGGGTCAAGGTGAGGAGTGATCGAGTTTGCAGCTTGGTCTTACTCAATCGATCTTAAAGTGTCCCCTCTACCTCATTCAGTCCCCCCTTTACCCCATCCAAACCAAGGAGTCCTCCCCTTTCCCCCATTATTTTCTTCTCCCAAGGGTCTTCCCCTTAAGGTCTGTTCACACGATCCAATTTTGTTGGATCCAATTCACTTCTGATGGATGTTTTATAGTCTGTTGTCTTGTAATGTATATCAGCAGTAAATCCACTGAAGCCAATGCACTACAGCTTCATCAATAGCCGACTATATTCAGTAGCGTAGCCAGCCTGTCGATTTGTCCCGCTATGCTAATATTTTAGTGTTCAATGACTGTGAAAACAATAGATTTCTAAAGACATGAGTAATTATAATAACTCGAAATTTACATAGCGGGACAAAATCGTCAGGCTGGCTACGCCACTGACTATATTTCATACGTCAGAAGTGAATTGGATCCAACAAAATTGGATTGTGTGAACAGACCTTTACTCCATAAATTCCATCAATCGGGTCACCTCCAATCCACTCCCTGCATCGCACTCTTTGCAATTGATCCTACGATCCTATCAGCTTCAACAGTGATTGATCCATCGATTTTCCTAACAGATCGTCAAAAATTAGAATTACGTACAACCACTTTTCCATTTAGGACATCTCAGGCCGCTGGGCGATGGCTGAAATACCAAATTCTGAACATATTTTCAAAGCAGATCTGGTGATCATCGCCCTGGGGTTCACTGGACCAGGAAAAACTTTGGCGAAAGAACTTGGCCTCAAAATGGTAAGATACATTGCGTATGTATTTATATCCAATCAAATTATATCACGATTTTAAATATTTACAACGCCACATCCAAAGATGCATGGTTTAGTTTGAAAATAATCCTGGGCCAGTTGTATGAAAGACTAGTTAAATTTTAACTGTAGTTAAGGACAGAATTGTCCAATTCATTCGCGTATTTCTGAGTTATCAAGGATTTAACTATGCAAAATTTAGTTATCTTAAAGGGTTTTATACAACCTGCCCCTTGAGGTAATTACCTTTTCTCTCCGTTTAGTTGGTGATTTGTTAAATAGTTTAGTGATAAATATATTGATTGATTGACAAATATATCGATCTATTGAATAACGGATATATTTATTATTTGACAAAGATATCGATCTATTGAATAACCGATATATTGATTGATTGACAAATATATCCATCTATTGAATAATGGATATATTTATTACTTGACAAAAATATCGATCTATTGATTGGCCGATATTATTGATTGATTAACTAATTGATAGTTTTTCATTGATACATCGAATGATTTACCCATGTATATCATCCATGATTGATTTATTCATCGATTGAATAATTTATCGATCATACCATGATATATTGATTGGCTCTTAATGATTGCGTGTGTTTGATTACTTCAGGACATCAGATCAAATTTTGCAACAGAAAGGAATAATTTTAACACAAACGTCCCGAAGATTTTCGCCGCTGGAGGTATGAATTAACTTGACCATCTAAAATGCAAAATATTTTGAAGACACCTTAGAATTTGTACCAGTAAAACTGTCATAGACCTCGCTCGTTCAAATGAACCTAAGAGGTATTTATCAAGTCATAAAAAATGTTTGGTTCAGTGTAGAGAACTTAAACAGCTTTGGCCAAAAAGAATTTGACATATTGATCAAATCTGTGTTTGTATGTGATAATTTTTGCTTGAAAATTGGCTAATTTAACTGTGCATATGACATTCAGAACACCTTCGTACATAAAAAGTTTAAAGTTCATTGTAAAATTGCAAACATATCTCAACTAGATTGGGAATTCATAAAATCCGGTTAAATCCATCACAAATGGTGAATTCTGAGCATACCAAAATGGCGGCAAATTAAGGCCAAATATAAATTCTAGTCGAGAGGAAATTTACTACAATCGTGTTGTTATGTGATTTGCAAACTAGTTTAGCTACGAAATAATTGATATTTGCCACTTCTAATCACTTTAATTGCTCTCAAAGCGAAGCAAAATCAGCAAGGCTGGTTTAAGTATCTGATAAAACGCTTCAAAACTTTGCATCAAATGTGGTATAACAACTGCCTAAATACACCAAACACTTCTCGACATTTCGACCTGAGGGCCTTCGTCAGGAGAGTTGATACTAACTCTCCTGACGAAAGCCCTCAGGTCGAAACGTCAAAATGTGTTTTGTCTATTTTGGCAGTTGTTATACCACATTTGATGCTAAGTTGTTTGAAGACGCTACCACGCTGTTCCCTGGTTATATTGCTTCAAAACCTAGCTCAAAGTAGTAAAACAATCTGTTCCTTTCCAGACTGCAGATATGGCCAGTCCTTGGTCGTGACTGCGATAGCCGAAGGCAGACAGGCCGCGAGACAAATTGATTTGCATCTCATGGGAACGACCTCATTGGCTGGACCAGGTGGAGTAATTGTCAATCATGAATCACGTGTCAGCATAAGGTCAGAGTAACTGTTCAATTCCTCCTCAGTGGAGCTGTTTATAAATCACGTCTTACAGACAATGTTCAATCAACTATACTAGCTGTCAGCTCTAGTGAGGAAAATGGGGAAGATATCTCTATATTCGGGGTTTTTTTTCACTAGTCTTATCTCCACATTTACCATATTTGTCTGTGAATTGAACCGTGAATAGCTATAGATAAACAATACTTCGATACGAATGATAAGGTTGTTTACACTTGAAATTTTCGCTTTTGATTTTTGGCGCCATTTTCTTCGTTTGGTAGATGTGATTTAATGGGTAAGTAACAGATGTTTCAATTTAGGGCATTTTTACATCAGAGCATTTATGACTATCCGCTCGTTCACATCTATCAAAAGAAGACAAACTCAACAAAAATCAAAGTAAAAATTGCAAGTGAAAACATGCCTATAGTGATCTGATAATGATTGGGAAAAATTATCGAAAAATTATAAAATCGAAAAAATTAGAAGATATTGGTCACTATGATATTTCACCAAGTTGGTCCAAACTTTTAGTTGTAAAAGAGCCTATTTAAATTCCTAGCCATATATTCAGATTTTTGAACTATTTTGGGAAGGTAAGAACACTGCTTATATTAGCTTCGCCCTCTGTAAGGATATATCAAATTTGTATTTTGTCATTATACTGATTATTGTGGGAATTATTTTGTTTTAAGCTGTTCTTCCTAGAGGTCCAGTAAGGATCATCTCTTATTGATCCAGTGTTACAACAGTAGGAAACCTAAACTAAACTAACTTTATTTATACTGGATAGCTCTATGAGTTCTAAGCTGTTCTTCCTAGAGGTCCAGTAAGGATCATCTCTTATTGATCCAATGTTACTACAGGAGGAAACCTAAACTAAACTAACTTTATTTATACTGGATAGCTCTATCAGTTCTAAACTGTTCTTCCTAGAGGTCCAGTAAGGATCGTCTCTTATTGATTCAGTGTTATTACAGGTGGAAACCTAAACTAAACTAACTTTATTTATACTTGATAGCTCTATCAGTTCTAAACTGTTCTTCCTAGAGGTCCAGTAAGGATGATCTCTTATTGATCAAGTGTTACTAAAGGAGGAAATCTAAACTAAACTAATCTAGACTGGATAGTTCAACAATAATTTATAAAACGGTTCTTCAAAACCTTTTTAAACAAAATGAATTCTCAAATCATGACATATTAAAATCATAATAAATCAAGATGAAACATATGCCATTACATATTCATTTCATACATTGATATTATATCGCTTCTACCTTGTTTTTCAACCATGGTAATTTCCGAAAGGAATAATTCGCAAAACTTCATTTCAATTCTTGAATTTCTTGTCGACACAAGCTATATACAATAAATCCTAACAATCGAGTTTTCGCGGTGCCAGTTATTTTATGTTGTAATGTTGACAGTTGGTTGCCGTGGGCAATATATGTCTTAAGTAAACAAGACTTTGCTTCTGGTCTACTTATTTATTTGCCGATAAATCTTGCACGATTGATCTCATAGTTATCGCGAAGTAAAGGTTTCTACGACAAGATTTAGGATTCAAATGTAATTTCTACATATTCTTAAAGGAGTTTAATTGGTACAAGAAGCTGTTGGGATTGAACATTGTTATAAATATCCCGGTAAGATATTTCTTTTTTTAATTAAAACAAAATATTATTGTATGGATTTAGGATTCTTGCATTTGAAAGCTTAAGAAATTGTTCAATTGTGAATTTCAGAGCTTCGAAAAAGCGACAGCGATTTCTCTATACCACTTTCATGACGGAAATCTTTCCTGTCGGAATTAAATTGTTTATTTTGCCGGAATTGTAGAAGTCGGGCTATTGAATACTGACAAGTTTCATCGAAGATTTTAGCGCAGGAAATTTTGTGTAATTTTGTGTTTCTATGCTGAAGAGTATTAGATAACTCTAATTTCGGGGAAAGGATAAATTTTCCCTTCTTTGTGAAAAAAAATATATGAATTAATTACCAGGGAAACACACTACGACATTATTACCATGGCAACTGAAATTAGTATGTAGAAAACAGCCGCTTTATGAAACAGCTGGGCTTTGCAATTTTGCTTCCATTTTATCTGCGATTTTCTTCTTTTGATTGATGCGAACGAGTGGATTAGTTACTGATGTTCAAATAGTAGCTCGTATACATCAAAACATTCGTAACTAATCACTAGTTCACATCTATCAAAAGAAGAAAATCGCAAATGTAATAGGCCCGTTTACACTTGCAATTTCTGTACGATTTATCTGCGATTTTCTTCTTTTCACAGATGTAAACGAGTGGACAAGTTAGGGATGTTCGAATTTGAGGCACTTCCACATCTCAGCATTCCTGACTATTCACTCGTTTGCATCTATCAAAAGAGGAAAATTTCACAATGAGTCGTGGAAACTGAAATTGTACACCGGCCTTATTAGGGATCTTAAACCACGACGGCAGCTATATCAATACAATGCTTCATTGAAAAGAAATGAATTATTAAATACCTATGGGAGTTTTAGACGTGATTTACGTTCTGTTTACAACGGTAAAATGTCGCTTAATACGTCCTGCGTAGAACGTCTGCATTTCAGGACCCAGTGAGCGCTACCTCGAATTAGTCTCTACAGGGTGAGTAAGAAAAACCTGACACCTTTGAAATCCAAATTAGCTGCAATGTGTCTATAATCGGCTGTAATGTGACAGAAGCTGCCTAAAATATCTTATGGGTATACGAAGCATATCAAATAAGTGAACTCATTTAATTTGGTAGAACATAAAGTTTGTTCCCTTTGGGAGTTAAAATGCATTCTAAGCTCTGTAATAAAAAAGAACGTCGAATTAGTTCAATGGGAATTGTCAAATTCCAGCCAGAAATTCGCGGCTAGTTTGAATTTCAAAGGTGTCAGTTTTTTTTACTCACCCTGTATAAAATTGTCCCTAATTGGCCTAGACCAAAAAATAATGTCTTTAACGTCTTATATCTCAGTAAATTGGTTTAAAGGAGTATTCCAGCCACATCGTCATCGTGTTGCCTTCCTCATGCTTAAGGTCCCTACCAAGTCGACGAAGCGACTATTTTCATCCAGTGCTTTTCTTCCTAGGTCAACTGATCTATTATACTTTAAATTATGCCGTCCAATGAGAGCGAAAAAGCGATGGTCCTTGATCCTTCGGTAAATGGAAGAAGGCTGAGGGCACAGTCAGGGCCTGCCTGTCATCCTACGCGCTCAGGCGCTAATGCAGAGAAGAAAAGTTTGGAAAGGAAGCGGCCACGCACTGTGCCCGAAGCGAGACAGGCAGAAGCAACGACGCCGGAATTGAAGGGAACAGAGAATGCGAGGTCACCTCTTATAATTGTCACTGGCGGTCGCCTTCAAAATGGCGAAAGCCTGAGATCTGCAGAGGCCTACATTATCGATGAAAAAAGATGGGTCCCGTTACCAGAAATGAATATTCCCCGTTACCTTCATTCAGTTGTTGCCATCGACAATCGAGTTGTGGTCAGTGGTGGTGATACCGGCCCAGGAAGAACAGATACTATTGAAATATTAGATCTTGATGAAACCCCTCTGCGATGGATCATCTCTGACGCGAAACTGCGGGCTCCACTGTGTGCTCATCAGACGGTTGCTCGTGAAGGAAAGTTGATAGTCATCGGGGGAAATGACGAAAATGATGATCCTGGAACTAGGGGGAATTCCAACAGAATCTATGAAGTTGACCTCGCACACCCTGACTCCACCAGAAATTTGTGTTTTCTTCCTCAACCAATGGCATGGCATGGCGCTGTGATGATTAACGATAGAATATTCATCTTTGGTGGAGGAAAAGGCTTCACTAACCCATACAATCAGATCTCGGTGTATGACCCTAGCACAAACACTTGCCACCAAAGTGTTCAAGGTTTACCTCACAGAGTCCAAGGACTAGCAGCGGTAATTTGGTCAAACAGAGTCCTACTTCTGGGAGGCGTTGATGCTGGTGGTCAAGAATTAAACACGGTCATTTCGTACAACGTAACGACAGGTGTAACAAGCCATTGGTTTCAATGCAGCAGCGAAGAGGTGGTTGCACAGCTGTCATACATACCATCCAGGGTCAGCAACAGCAACAAGAACGAGGTGTGATTGTCGCTTTAGGAAGTTTGGGAGACCTTAACACAGTTGAAAGATGCGTTCTTGGTACAAATGCCTGGAATGATATGCCTCCCACATTAGAAGCTCGACAACTATTCACCAGCAACACAGCAGCCGTTTTTTCAGCCAGCATTCTAGTTTGAAAAGAACATTTGAGTATGAGAACAGTGAGTAAAAAGAACATCTCAGTCTTATATTTGCATTGTTAGTATCCATCTTTATATATTATATATATTTAGAAAACACTGCACACATATATCATTGTTTTTATTGCCTTATATAAGATAAAAATATCGCCATTGCTTTTTGAATCACAATATTAAAACTATATTAAAAAACATTCGAATAATAATTCACTCAACACTGCATATAAATGTATTTATTTCACTACAATGTAGTTAATTCAATGTTTATTTCATAATAAGTTATTTACAAAACAACGTGAAATTCGCTTAACTTAATGTTATTAAATTAAAGCATTTTAAATCGCATCTTGGATTTTCTAGACCACTGCTTACAGCTACGAGATGAATTATCGAACCGAATTAGTTAGCGAATATTCACCGACCTAATGCTATGTCGTTCAATATGTGCTCAAACCTCAGTTATATCTTCATGCAACAGTACTAAAATTTTCAGCATTAAAAATGTTTTGCAAACCTGAAAAGAATCTACAAAATATGTTTACTGTATAATCTCAAAATATTGTGAAAATGAAAAGATTTCTCGGGATACGCCGAGAAGAAAACGACACTTGAATCGAAGCTACTTTTGTATTCATTTAAGTTATAATGGCGTTGACATTATAACATTGTTAATAGCCGCGTTATATTTTGAAATAACTCCTTTGTTTGGTGTTTTGCAATCACTAAATACAGTTCAAAACTTAGTTCACAACATAATCTAAAGAATAAAGGTAAAATAAATTAATTTTGAGTGTACGCCGAAAAGATTTTATGTCTTGACCGTTTTCCCGCCATAATACGCGACATAATAAAAAATCTCTTGATACCATTTCGGGCGACCATTTAAAGTCTTTTAACCCAATAATCTTAACACAAGCGGTGAACACTTAAGATTCGGACATCTTTAATCGCCCAGTTCATCTACAAACTAATTGAACAAGGCTTTTTTATCCGCTGGGTCAATGATATAAAGTCTCAAGGGATTTTTGAGACTTCTAAAAACCTTTGTTACACCGCGTGAAATTTATTCAAAAGCTTATAAAAAAGCAATGTTTAATGTTTCAATATTCCGGCCCCCGCTAAGAATGTGCGATTCAATGATAATGACTTTCCTATGTTATGATTAAAATTACAAAGATTTTATTACAAAAGCGTTCTTGCAGAGCTGTTCTTATCAGCAGTATGAAGACGTATTTGGCTCAAAATTGAACTCGGTAAGATATTTCTTGAAATTTTAACCTTATACAATTATGGCTGATTCATGCCTGGTTTGCGAAGACAAATATTAAGTTTACTCCACCGTTATATATTGATATATTTTATATAATTTACCTTTGCAAATCGTGCACACGGCAGGCAAAATATTTCAAATATCTTACTGCAATAAACGTATACGTTTTAGTTTATTTTGTCGATCGAAATAGTTCATAAGAGCTTGCGATAACGTGGGTATAATGTGGAGTGTTTTCCAGGAGTAAAATTTCGTACATAAATGGTTTTAAAGGTCGAGTGTTAGTCGAAATTCTGGGAACTCCTCAAATAATATTACGACGTAGCTTGTAAACAATTCGCATTACCAGCCATTTATTATTGATATTGGTCCAATATATAAATATATTTGCACTGTAGGGTCGATAGCGATTCGATTAAAATATTACGACTTTAAGTTTTGCAAATCGTAATTAAATTTCAGTAATTTGATATCACTTTCTGTTTACAAAACGAAACTAGACACTGCATGTTGTCGGCATTTTATTCGGGTCTGATTCGGCTGGTAAACACAGGTTATTTTTAGGGTCGTGTAATCATTTACAAGACGAAATGATTGTCTACGGACAGAATTTCGTATACCGAACGCCTTCTGAACGAATCATTTGGAACAATTTCTAAAATTGCGTAGCTTTTGAGATAGCAAGTATAGTCTAGACGTTTATCATAAACAATGCAATTAATTGCTCGATCAATTGCTAGCTGAAGTTTATTGTTTCCGAGTTTGGGTTCTGTAAGAAGTAGTGAATTATCAGTACTATTCCTACAAGACATTTTCACTTTGAACAAGTATGAAGTAACATTGAATTTAAGCTAAATCGAGTTTTATTTATATAATTATATTACTTAGTTAATAACCACTTATTATCCCCTTGATAAAAAAAGCTGCGTGGGTGTCGATATTGCAGATACATTTATGGAGTGTTCGTTTACCCAAATCAATAATTATTAAGAATTCCGCGTTTCGGTGTTATAAAACATAGCGTGTTTTGGAAGTACTTAGCAGTTAGAAAAACGCTTTTTTGCTTCTTATTTGTTGAAAATTCTTCGCACAAAGAAAAAATATATTACAAGGCCGGTTGTTTAAAAGCCGGTTAGCTTAACCCTGGCTTACTGAATCTTTACATTTTTTTTAATCGCTTGTTTACAAAGTTGAATATCTTCATTATTTTTTCTGGACCAATTATTTCTAAAATTGTAAAACGAACAGTGGTTCAGAAGCACAAAAACTGAAACACTGGATTAACATTTTAACCCATTTTAACCCATTTTGATCCAGAAAGATAACTGAACAGATATTAGTTGAAGTTTACTTTCAGAAGATGGCTCAGCAATTATTTTTCATGTTCGCCAATCAATCTAACGAATGGCTGGGTGTAAACATAGCCTGGATTAGACGTGATCTACGTTCTGCTTACAACGGCAAAACGTTGTTTATTACGTCCTTTGTAGAACGTCTGCATTTCAGGACCCAGTGAGCGCTACCTCGAATTAGGCTCTATAGAATTGTCCCTAAACGTAAACACAATGTTTTCAACGTCTTATATCTCTTTATATTGGTACAGTTGATAATAAAGAAGAACGCTTTATCATGACATTTATTCAAAGGAGTATTCCAACAACATCGTCGTCGTGTTGCCTTCCCGCATGCTTAAGGTCCCTATTAAGTCGACGAAGAAACTATTTTCATCCAGTGCTTTTCTTCCTAGGTCAACTGTTCTATTATACTTCAAATTATGCCGTCCAATGAGAGCGAGAAAGCGATTTTGGTCCTTGATCCTTCGGTAAATGGAAGAAGGGTGAGGGCACAGTCGGGGCCTGCCTGTCATCCTACGCGCTCAGGCGCTAATGCGGAGAAAAGAAGTTTGGAAACGAAGCGGCCACGCACTGTGCCCGAAGCGAGACAGGCAGAAGCAACGACCTCGCTATTGAGGAGAACAGGGAATGCGAGGTCACCTCTTATAATAGTCACTGGCGGTCGCCTTCAAAATGGCGAAAGCCTGAGATCTGCAGAGGCCTACATCATCGATGAAGAAAGATGGGTCCCGTTACCAGAAATGAATATTCCCCGTTACCTTCATTCTGTTGTTGCCATCGACAATCGAGTTGTGGTCAGTGGTGGTGATACCGGTCCAGAAAGAACGGATACCATCGAAATATTGAATCTTAATGAAGCCCCTCTGCGATGGATCATCTCTGATGCGAGACTGCGTGTTCCACTGTGTGCTCATCAGACGGTTGCTCGTGAAGGAAAGTTGATAGTCATCGGGGGGAATGACGAAAATGATGATCCTGGAACTGTTGGGAATTCAAACAAAATCTATGAAGTCGACCTCGTTCACCCCTACTCCACCAGGATTTTGTGTTTTCTTCCTCAACCAATGTCATGGCATGGTGCTGAGATGATTAACGATAGAATATTCATCTTTGGTGGAGGAAGAGGCTTCACTAACCCATACAATCAGATCTCGGTGTATGACCCTAGCACAAACACTTGCCACCAAAGTGTTCAAGGTTTACCTCACAGAGTCCAAGGACTAGCAGCGGTAATTTGGTCAAACAGAGTTCTACTTCTGGGAGGGGTTGATGCTGGTGGTCAAGAATTAAACACCGTCATTTCGTACAACGTAACGTCAGGTGTAACAAGGCCATTGGTTTCAATGCAGCAGCGAAGAGGTGGTTGCACAGCTGTCATACATACCATTCAAGGTCAGCAACAGCAACAAGAACGAGGTGTGATTGTCGCTTTAGGAAGTTTGGGAGACCTTCACACAGTTGAAAGATGCGTTCTTGGTACAAATGCCTGGAGTGATATGCGTCCCACATTAGAAGCTCGACAACTATTCACCAGCAACACAGCAGCCGTTTTTCAGCCAGTATTCTAGTTTAAAAAGAACATTTGAGTATCAGAACAGTGAGTAAAAATAACATCTCAGTCTTATATGCATTTTTAAAATCCACCTTTATATATTATATATATTTAGAAAACACCACACACATATCATTGTTTTATTGCCTTATATATAACATAAAAATATCGCTATTGCTTTTTGAATCACAATATTAAAACTATATATATATTAGAAACATTCGAATAATTCACTCAGCTCTGCATATAAATGTATTTATTTCACTACAATGTAGTTAATTCAATGTTTATTTCATAATAAGTTATTTACAAAACAACGTGAAATTCGCTTAACTTAATGTTAATAAATTAAAGTATTTTAAATCGCATCTTGGATTTTCTAGACCACTGCTTACAGCTACGAGATGAATTATCGAACCAATTGTTAGCGATTCATTCACCGACCTAATGCTATGTCGTTCAATATATGCTCAAACCTCAGTTATATCTTCATGCAACAGCACTAACATTTTCAGCATTAAAAATGTTTTGCAAACCTGAAAAGCATCCACAAAGTATGTTTACTGTATAATCTCAAAATATTGTGAAAATGAAAAGATTTCTCGGGATACGCCGAGAAGAAAATGATACTTGAATCGAAGCTTCTTTTGTATTCATTTCAGTTATAATGGCGTTGACATTATAACATTGTTGATAGCCGCCGCATTATATTTTGAAATAACTCCTTTGTTTGGTGTTTTGCAGTCACCAAATACAGTTCAAAACTTAGTTCACAACATAATCTAAAGAGTAAAAGTAAAATAAATGAATTTTGAGCGGTACGCCGAAAAGATTTTATGTTTTGAGCGTTTTTCCGCCAAAATACGCGACATAATAAAAAATCTCCTCTTATAATACCATCTCGGGCGACCATTTTAAGTCTTTTAACTCAATAATCTTAACACAAGCGGTGAACACCTGAGAGTCAAACGTCTTTAATCGCCCAGTTCATCTACAAACTAATGCAACAAGGCTTTTTTGTCCGCTGGGTCAATGATATAAAGTCTCAAGGGATTTTTAAGACTTCTAAAAACCTCTGTTACATCGCGTGAAATTTATTCATAAGCTGATAAAAAAGCGATGTAAAATGTTTCAATATTCCGGCCCCCGCTAAGAATGTGCGATTCAATGATAATGACTTTGCTATGTTTTGATTAAAATTGCAAACATGTTATGACAAAAGTGTTCTTGCAGAGCTGCTGTTATCAGTATGAAGACGTATTTGGCTCAAAATTGAACTCGGTAAGATATTTCTTGAAATTTTAACCTTATACAATTATGGCTGATTCATGCCTGGTTTGCGAAGACAAATATTAAGTTTACTCTGCCGTTATATGTTGATATATTTTATACAATTTATGTTTGCAAATCGTGCACACGGCGGGCAAAATATTTCAAATATCTTACTGCAATAAACGTATACGTTTTAGTATATTTTGTCAATCGAAATAGTTCATAAGAGCTTGCGATAACGTAGGTATAATGCTGAGTGTTTTCCAGGAGTAAAATTTGGTACATAAATGGTTTTAAAGGTCGAGTGTTGGCAGTCGAAATTCTATGAATTCCTCAAATAATAAATATTACGACGTAGCTTGTAAACAATTCGCATTACCAGCCATTTATTATTGATATTGCTCCAATATATAAATATATTTGCACCGTAGGGTCGATAGAGATTCGATTGAAATATTACGTTTTGCAAATCGTAATTAAATTTCAGTAATTTGATATCACTTTCTGTTTACAAAACGAAACTAGACACTGCATGTTGTCGGCATTTTATTCGGGTCTGATTCGGCTGGTAAACACAGGTTATTTTTAGGGTCGTGTAATCATTTACAAGACGAAATGATTGTCTACGAACAGAATTTCGTATACCGAACGCCTTCTGAACGAATCATTTGGAACAATTTCTGAAATTGCGTAGTTTTTGAGATAGCAAGTATAGTCTAGACGTTTCATCATAAACAATGCAATTAATTGCTCGATCAATTGCTGGCGGAAGTTTATTGTTTCGGAGTTTGGGTTCTGTAAGAAGTAGTGAATTATCAGTACTATTCCTACAGTACACAAGACATTTCCACTTTGAACAAATATAAAGTAAATAATGCGATGTATTTTATTAAACATACGAACATTGAATTTAAGCTAAATCGAGTTTTATTTATATAATTATATTACGTAGTTAATAACCTCCTATTATCACCTTAATAAAGAATTCCTTATCGCTGCTTGGGATTGAGTGGGTGTTGATTTTGTAAATATATTTCTCGAGTGTTCCGTTTACCCAAATCAATAATTATTAAGAATTCCGCGTTTCGCTGTCATAAAACATAGCGTGTTTTGGAAGTACTTAGTCTTAGCAGTTATAAAAACGCGACTTTTTTACTTCTTATTCGTTGAAAATTCTTTGCACAAAGAAAAAATATGTATTACGGGGCCGGTTGTTCAAAAGCCGGTTAGCTTAACCCTCGTTAAATCTTTACATTTTTTCAATCGCTTGTTTACCTTTGTAAACAATATGAACTTCAATAATAACTTTGAATATCCTTTTTCATTATTTTTTCTGGACCGATGTTTTCTAAAGTTATAAAAACGAACAGTGGTTCAGAAGCGCAAAAACTAAAATACTGGATTATCATTTAACCGAGGGTTACCGCTAACCTATAGCTTTGAACAACTGGATCCAGAAAGATAACTGAACAGGTATTAGTTAAAGTTTACCGTCAAAAGATGGCTCAACAATTATTTTTCATATTTGCCAATCAATCTAACGAATGGGTGGGTGTAAACATAGCCTGAATTTAGATTAACTCGGTGTTCCAACCTCTTTTCTAGGAAGTTAGTCTAATCTTGGTGATTTGGACAATCAAAGACAGCGTAGCTTGGGCTCTGGTCAGCATTTACAATCTCAAGGAGATACAAAAAGTGTTTGATCTTTCGAGAAGTTTTTAGCGATGGAAAGTGAAACTGAAAGAAAAATAGCGAGACTGGAGTTGGAGATTCTTGAACTGAAAATACAGCGTGGAAAAGGGGCAGATAAATCTTCAGAAGAGTCGAAACCGACGGGAGAAAAGTCTTCATTGAGTGACCTAGAGTTGGAAAAAAGAAAAGTTGATCTTCAATGCCAAATCTTGACAGGGAAAATTAATCGAAAGAAACCACTTTTTGGAGCCCCTGTAAGAGAAAAGACGGAGGAAAAATTGGGGCCTTCGGTGAAGGAAATCCGACTGAAACGTGAAGAAAAACGTTTGGGGATTGAAATGTTAAAAATTAGATTGGAAACAACAAAAGCAGGAGCGACGACATCCGTGGATCAGGGAGAAAGATTGGAACAAATAAAAGGAAACGAGGAGTTTTCAGTGAAGGAATTGGGATTGGAACGAGAGAAAATGCAGTTAGAGGTTCAGATATTGGATATACAATTGGAACGAAAAGAATCAGAAATGAAATTTGTGGAAAAGGCAATGATGGAAGAGGAACAATCGAAAGAAAGATTGGAACCTTTATCGATGGAATTGGGACTGGAACGAAAGAGAAAAGAGTTGGAGTCTCAAATATTGGAAATGAAATTGCAACAGATGGGGACAGAATTGGAGGTTATTGAAAAGGAAATTGAGAAGGAACAATCGAAAGGAACATTAGAGCCTTCACCGATGGAGTTAGAACTGGGACGAAAGAAAAGACATATAGAGTCTCGAGTTATGGAAATGAATTTGGAACGAGAGAAAGCACAATTGGAGTCTCAAATATTGGGAATGAAGTTGGAACGAATAGAGACAGAAGCGAAGTTTGGAGTGAAGAGAAAACAGCAACCTTCGCCATTAGAACTTAAACTTACAGAGAGGAAAGCGCATTTACGGTTTCAGATCTTGGGAATGAAATTCAGACGGGAAGAGTTAGAACTGCGATCTCTAACGATGAAAGAAATTCTCCTGGCAAGAAATAAAGCTCCTTTGAATAGCGAGGATGTTATTGCTTCAGGCGGAGGCGGAGAAGATGGTGAAAGTTAATTCTTTTCGGTAGCGGTTCCACCAACCGAATTGGAGTAATGAAAAATTCGAATAATAGCTAAAAATGTGGTTTAATAAGACATTTCAGTAAATTAAGAAGTGTCTGGAAATTCTCCTTACACTTCACTTTAATGTGTGTATGTTAGTTTACATCGCTGGGTTTATAGAGCCATAAATAATTTCACAATGGATTGCACCTTCATATTTAATTAAGTATAAAAATACTTTCAGAACGATTCTTAACTAACTTTTCCGAAGTAAAATGGGAAGGGATGTATCATGTAAGCATTTTGTTACTTTGATGAAATATGTGTAATTGTAATTGAACCATTTACTAATAATGTGTTCCGTAAATCTATATAATCTTTGAAATCTTTGAAATATATACATAACGATAGACTAAGTATTACTTGATTAGTAGAATATAATATTCAGTGTAACCTTTTCAGTTATGTTTAATAAAAAAGTTTAAAAAACATGCTGTACCTTTTGAAAACATTTTTTAACGAATTCGCACCAGATTTGTTCCAATGTTATTTCAACAATTAACTTACTTAAAAGTAGACAAGTTCCAACCTTTCTTATGAAGTTTCAATCCGAAAATCTATAAACACTGGTTCACAATTGTGCATTTCTGTATCGCTATCAAAGAGAAAACTATTGAATAACTTTAAAAAGTTCAATATTTCTTCTGAATAAGCATTCTGCAATCTTTTGACAGCTCATCAAACACATCTGACAGCTGTGAAATGGCCATTTTGAGGCTTCACTTATACACAATGTTATTATTTCAGACGATTCGTTTTTACCGTGTGCAAGCTTCAAATTTTTTTGTGCAAGACATATTTGGTTGGGTATTTATAAATCTTTTTTCCCACCACCAGGTTTCGCACACACTGCTGTGTCTGTTTACTATAAAATGAGGCTCTTTTAAATAGAAAGTCGATATTGTTGAAAACGTTTTATTAACTCTTGCGTAATGATATAATGTTTCCCAAATTTTGGTGCAAATGGAAAGTTTGGCTCATTGCGAGCAAGCATTCAAACGCAATAGTGTTGACTGTTGTGAAATATTTCACCAATGGCATATGGTAAAACGCGGACTGGACTGGACTTGTAAAACGCGGACTGGACTAAATTAGTAAAACACGGACTGGACTAAATTAGTAAAACGCGGACTGGACTAAATTAGTAAAACGCGGACTGGACTAAATTAGTAAAACGCGGACTGGACTAAATTAGTAAAACGCGGACTGAACTAAATTAGTAAAACGCGGACTGGAATCGATTTCGTTGGAAACACGATAAAATTTCTTTAATTGTGATTTGACATAATTTTAGGTTAAATTGAGGCGAGTATCTTGAAATATAATCGATAGTTTGCCCAAAATTCTCAATGCATGCCAGAAAACTGTTTTACCGAGAGCACTATGATTTGCAACTTTGCGGCGAAAAACATTGCCTTTAGACTTGTCATTGTATTTAGACTTGTCTAAAATTAACTATTCCATGATATCAGCATATGCCAGTATTTCTATTTTATCGAAATTAACAATTACAGTTTGAAACTTCTTACACTTCTTTTCCAAAAGTTTGGGAAAGTATATACGACTTTTTAAATCTCTTGTGTTAATAAACAGCAGCAGCCTTGGAAAAACAACTATATATTAGCTTGAAAAACTTTATTTACAAGTGATATCAGTGATTAAGTCTGAATAGATAAACTTACAACACTTCAAAACTTACTGCACCTACTCCACCAATTAATACTGATAATACCTTTTTAATAAGGCATTAATAGTAACAAACATTATGTATGCAATACAGTGCAATACATAAGTGTTTGTTATTGACTTATTGGGTGGGGGGGGGTTACATTATGTTTTCTCAACTGGTATATTATTTATTTAAAGAAGATTTACATGCTTTTCAAATAAAGGTAAGATCAATTTATATTAAAAGAAGAACAGAAAATGTCAACATAATAGTACAAAATGTCAAATGCACTATCAAATTTAAATGTCAATTTCAGCAGCACAGTAACATGTGCCATAAATAGTTTTTAATGTTACATGTCAATACCATCTATAAAAGGGTACACTTTTAACAAAAAAAAAATAGAAAATTTCTAATATGATAATGGGGACTGTCAATTAACACAGTAGAAAATGTCAAAAGCATTTTTAAACATCAATTTTAGCAATATTAATCAATTTTTTTTGCCATTGAGTCGTATGTAATCTTGGATTGACATCAGGGATTGACAGAAGTGCAACGGACAAGTCATCTGAAGAAAACATCTGAAAGACAAATGTCTTGGGTACCAAGGCTTTTACATTTGCACTATTAAGTTTATATTGTCGAGCCAACTCAGCCAAGTCAGTTTCATTACGCTGTTGTTTGCTTATATACTCCCTCATATTTTGGAGTCTATTTTGCCTCTCATGATCATTTTCCTTTGAATGTTTAGCTTTTTGTAATTCTCTATTTTTTTGGAGCCTTACTTACACCATAGGCGGCCCAGAACTGATCTCACTGACCTCGCGCGACGCTTATGTTGTCTGAACAGTTTTATATTATGACAAGGTAGGCAACTCTCACGCCAAATAAGCTAAAAACGCACGACGGTTGACCCAAACACCTTCACAAAACCGCAAATATTTCATAAAAATATGGCGAATAAGAAAAAAAAAGTACAACACATTAAACTTGAATAATTTTACTACATTTACACTATATTTTTAGCATTCAAATGTATTCCTATGCATGTATAAAACGTGAATGATTTTATGGTTTCTGGCAAATATATTTCAAAACCTATGCTGGGGACACCTTGCCTATACCTTCGTCATATTTTTAAATTGAGAATAGAAAGTTGATTGGCTGTCGTTTAAAAAGAGCCAATCAGCTTTCTATTCTCAATTTAAAAATATGACGAAGGTATAGGCAAGGTGTCCCCAGCATAGGTTTTGAAATATATTTGCCAGAAACCATAAAAACATTCACGTTTTATACATGCATAGGAATACATTTGAATGCTAAAAATATAGTATAAATGTAGTAAAATTATTCAAGTTTAATGTGTTGTACTTTTTTTTTTCTTATTTGCCATATTTTTATGAAATATTTGCGGTTTTGTGAAGGTGTTTGGGTCAACCGTCGTGCGTTTTTAGCTTATTTGGCGTGAGAGTTGCCTACCTTGTCATAATAAAACTGTTCAGACAACATAAGCGTCGCGCGAGGTCAGTGAGATCAGTTCTGGGCCGCCTATGCTTACACTCTAGATAAAATTCCCAGTTTTAGTTGAGGTGCAATTAAGAAGTTCTGTAAACTGAACAGGCACAATTTCAAACAAATTAGAATGCTATGCCTCAGAAAGAACATACAAATATTGCTCTAAATCCAAAATGTTTGCAAACTGCAATGCTACTGCTGTACCATTAGGATTGGACATTCCAAAACAATTATGTGAATCAAACAGATGGATAACACTCCATATGCTTTATCAAAGAACATATTTATATTTAATAAATGTATTTCCAATTGCTATGTGAAGTTTATAATGAGAGGGAATGTCCTCATGAATGATAACTAGCCCTTGCAGTTCTTGTTTGTAGTCAATTACACAAATGTCTTCCCCATCATTTGTTCGGTGATCATTGAGTCAGCCACAATGGGTGGTTCATTGTCACTAACCACGATGGGCGGTTCATTTCGCTCAGGTGCCGAAATAAAGCTCATTCTTAAAACATGATACACTAACACGTTTTGGCAGGTCTTTCGCGGATAAATACACGGCACCTGGTGGCAAATTGATCAAGTGATTATTCATCGCCTTTATATACCTTTTGTCGGCATTGTCGCCTTGTATTAAAAAAGTATTTAATGTCGTTAGCGACCATTGCCATTGTGGGCTGTTAAAAGTCCTAATAAACTATTAAAAGCACACTGTTTAGTCTGTTTACCCTAAGAGGTAACATCAAACAGTCATCAGTATGATGAATATTTTCTCGGATAAAAATTGCCATAATTTGTCGATTGCTTCAGCGTCAAGTCTCTTGTCGCCTACGAACTTGCTTGTTTACTATATGAATATGGCAGCGTCAAACTCCGCCCGGCGAGCATAATTAATTTTTGTAACCCCCCTGAATTGCTGACATACAAACTGACAAAAAGTCGAGATTCAAGACATTTTATCGATTCCAGTCCGCGTTTTACTAATTTAGTCCAGTCCGCGTTTTACTAATTTAGTCCAGTCCGCGTTTTACTAATTTAGTCCAGTCCGCGTTTTACCATATGCCTTCACCAATCACTCCCGCAGAGAATACACGGCTGAATGGTTATGAGTTGTGTTTATCGAGTATTTTTAAATTGCAAATTGCCACTAATTCATGTTAAGGAGTTCCCTTGAGAGCTGTTATTGTGCAAGCGATTTGAGGAGAGTGTTGGCTGAAAACTGACTAAATTTGGTAAAATATTTCTTGCTAAACTTTCATTAAATGAGGACTAATTCATGTTAGAATCTGCCCAGGTTTAACAGGTTTATATCCAGTTCTGTCTACCGTAAGATATCGATATATTTATATATTTTTTATCTTTTAATTAACGCGAACCACGGGTAACATATTATATAACTATTACTTCAGACATATTTTCCTTCAGAAACGGTATTTTCTATCGGGTATTTGACAATTCAATGAACTTACGGCAAAGAGTAGTGACAGTGGACTTCTTAAAGAGCATTTTAAATGTTTATATTAATTGCTACTGTTGCTGAAAATGTCGAAATCAATGTTGCATGTCTTGACACTTGCTAGTTGTCAATGCATGTAGATTTCAGTTGTTACAGCCCCGTATTGCAAGTAAGCATGTAGCACTTTACAAAGGATTATCAAATTGGTCATGATAAGTTGAATGATAGATTCATTCGCGAAGTAGCGATGCGTTTTACAATTAAATGATGCGTTAAACGTATTACAATTTTTAAACTCCAGCACAATATACGGGTTCCTGCTGTGCCCCAAAAAGAAACTAAATTCTGCTTATTGCGTCTGTAGGAGATTCGGTCCGCTTTGCAATTTAATACAACTCATTTTGGATTAACCGTACTTCGTTTCGAACAAAGTATAAATTGAAATTAGTTGGCATAAGCTGGTGTCGAGTTTAGATTCAGTTATTGTTTAGTTTCGTCCATAATAAATGCAGGAATTTTTGTTTTTGAGTTGAAAACAGAACGCTGACTGTGCGCGTTTCTATGCCTAAAATAATTTTCGCTTGTCTCGCCGTAAGAGTTTGATTTTGACCACAAATACAGTATTTGCATCGATAAAAGAATTTGCTAAACATTCAAATATGACCATTCCTCTTTTAAACCAAATGCGGAACCGCCTGTCTACCAGAGAATACATGTC